CTTACATCTTAGTTACATCCGATATTCAAAGAGTATAGGGGTAGGGGGAAGTGGATGGGTGTAACACCCAGAAGGGAGCGTCTCCGACCATATAAAGTTTATATATTCTTTATCATAATCAATAGCCGAGTCAATATAGCCATGTCTGTCTGTCCGTCCCGATGGGCGCCTAGATCTCAGAGACTAAAGGAGTTAGAGCAACCGAATTTTGTATCCAGACTCCTGTGATATCGCTATGACCATGCTACCCCGTCCACCTGCTTTTCTTTCTCTCACAGTATGAGTATGGATGTGGAGCTTTGGGCCTTGCCGCGGCTCACAGAATTCAATCCGTAATTGCCCGGTATCTCAAGTTTCGACCCGAAGCTAGGTTTCTATTACCATTTTTTGCCTGGCCACCGCTCCTCCCATCCTCCCATCGAGTGTATGCATATTTTACGGACCTGCGATTTTCCAATTTTGATAATTTGTATTATGCTAATTTTGCCATTCCCTCAGAGATCGTTCCGATAGGGGGGGAAGTCAGCCGTGTGTACATGTCAGGGGAAAATGAGAATGAAATGGAAATCGTAATGATAGGAAAATATTTGTGCACACTTTTTCCTGTGCATTATGATTTGTTTGCTGCCACTCGGAGTCGCGCTGGGGCTGGGGCTGGGTCCGGGCGATCGCCTGCAGCATAAATTTAATGTTATATTTACAGACCTATTAAAAATACATAGCACTTTTGTTGATTTATGGACACTGCGAATGTGTTAATTTTGTTAGCGCTTCCACAGTGATCGGCCAATCAGTGGCCGCAAATATTTGCCATCGAATAAATTGAATCGATGCCAGCAAGGAACACAACTGTGCAGCAAACTACTGGCTTAAGCTGGTGTTTACTTTGCTTTCGCGAGGACTCAATCTCTTTCGCTGGGCTTCACTTTCGGCTCTAACAAATCCACAAAGTCGTGTGCCTTCAAAGGGGAAAAGAAACGAGGAGGAAAACCCGTCTTTCCAGTTGTTGAAATTTACTTTTGCACTCAAGGGCCGCGATGCCGATTCTGCCTCGCTGCCTTGCCCCGCTTTGGGCCAGCAACTAACGGCACATGGTGAGAGCCAGGCCAAAATGCAGTTACTCACTGGTCTCTACCTCTACCTCCCTTTCCCCTCTCTCACTCTGTGACCCCCGCAGCTGCAGCCCCGAAAGTGTTGCAAATGACTTGAAACGGGTTTGAATGAGCTTTGCTCGGATTGCGATTGCGATTGGGGTTCGGACTCGGGTTCGGGTTCGGGTTCGGGTTCTGGCTCTGTTTGGGCTTGTGCTTTTGGTGTTGCCCCGAAGAAATGGGTCAATAAGAAAATTCAAATGCTACAAAAACTTGTTGAGTTGTTTTTTTTGCGAAGAACCAGACCAAAACAGGGAACTGCTGGCGGGGGAATGAACTCCGTTCTCGGTTTGTTTCCTCCTCAATTTGCGGTCGGTTCAATGACTTCTCTCCGGTTCGATCAATCAATCGAACTGCAGGGCCCAGCAGATGTTGCCACCGAAGCCAGGGCCAAGAGAGTATCCAAGCGGAAGGCTGTGAAGCCACAAATATGGCTTTGATTTGATCCGATGTGCTTTGCTCTGCCTTCTGTCTAATGTCCTCGCATCCTGACAAGAAAGCATTTATGTTTTATCAGAAAGTGCAATTTCTGATGAAACCACAAAACCCAGCAACCATATATGCTCATAATTTATTTGTGGTAGACTGGAGACTATTTGGTAAGTCTTGTAAGAAGTAGGGAGTACGCAGTGAAGAGCATTCTGCTGAGAAAATGTCAGCTCAAATCAGAAAACAATGGTTGACCACAAAATTGTTGATAACGCCACCGAGTACACAACGTTATTAATATTTAATGCGATTTGCCGGACTGTTGGCAGGCCCCATTGTCCGCTTTATGAGGGCGAATGATGTGGGACCTGGTCCGCTGATGGACCTGGGGAAAGCCGCTTAAAATATTTCCCTGCCACACGGAGATGCAGCGGAGATGTTTGTTGTTTTCCTTGTTGCTGGTGGCATTTCGCTGATTTAATATTTAGCACGCCTGGACACTCCCCACCTCCTGGGCAAAAGCTCCATTCCTCCACCCCCTCGGCCATGAGGCCTTAGTAAAATTTTAATGCGCTTTTGATGATGGCCATAAAATGGCAAAACAAAATGCATGGCGGCGGTGGCGGCGGCGGCGGTGGGGGAGGGGACGGAGGGTGGCGGCATGCAATGCGAATCTCTGCTCTAGATAAAATATTAATTTATTTTTCCCTCCTCCCCTCGCCGTGTTGTTCGCTTGTCCTTTTCCCCAGCATTCTTTTGGTTGTTGGGGTGGTGGGGTGGTGGGGACGCCCCTTGTCCCGCGGCCAGTGCGAACAAGTTATAGTGCCTCATAAAATGCCACGTACTCGTACGATATGTATCGCTGGAAAGCACGGCTCTTATATTTTAAATAACTGTTTCACCACCACCAGCCCCCACCCACCAGGGAAAACCCACCCCCCTCTTGTGTTTTATTAATACTTTCATTTTGGATGCGGTTTATTTGTTTCTCCTCTTTCCCCCTCTCTTTGCCTCTTGTTTATTTCTCGCCTTCTTTTGGATTAGTTTTTTAATTTCAACAGCTCGTGAAATGTTGAACCTTTTGATATGCACGCCAGCTGCTGCACTGCATCTCTTTCAGGATTTAAGAGCACTTGGGAGCTAGGAGATTTTATGGCGAAATTCTGTTGAGCAAACCACAAATTTGGGGTATCTACATGTTGATTAAAGCCCTCAATCAGTCCCAGGAATTTAAGAGGCTCGGGCACAACTGTACTTTATTAGGGGATAGTGTGGAGGTTACCCTGGCACATCCGCTTTTCCCCCTGGGCTTGGTCTAATCAGCTCCATTTCGCCCACAATCATTCAGGGATCGCCGTGCCGCACCCACGCATCCTCCGTGACTCTCTGACTCTCGCCATTCGCCTAATGGGCTCGAATTACCAGCCAACAATGACTGAACAGCGGCGAGTATCCGTATCGTATCCTTTTAGTTGGGTTCGAGGAGGTCTCCCCCAGCTACCATCGAAGGGCACGCGCCTCATTTATTCAATAAGCTGCTCTCATAAACAAGAGTAATTTTTCTGCGTCCCACCTCCCGTTTTTGCTCCTTGACTTGGCGCTTGGTGACGCTTTTGGCTTGCTCGATGATTGCGCTATTTACAATAATTGCAGACATTTCCAGCTCCATCGTGCTCCCTCTCGCTATCTCGTTCCTTTCTAACTTTGCCCCTAACTCTCGCTCTGTCTTCCTGTGCTGTCCTTGTGCTGCTTTAGGACCTTGGGCAAATCGTTGCAGATGAAAATGAGCGAGAAAATGTTTTTTCTCTAGCCGCCCATCCCCCCCGTCCCCTACTATCTCTCACTCCTCGTTCTCTCTCTCTCGCACACTTCCACTTCCACTTGCTGCTGCAACTTGCACTCCAGCTTCCGCTGTCACTGTTGCCACTCCTCTGGCCGGCACATTTCCATGGAGTAGAATGGCGCACCATCCAACTATAAAGCGCAGTGTGCACACAAAAACTAATTAGAAAACTTTTGCGGTTGATAGAGGCAGTGGCAGTGGCAGAGCCAGAGCCAGAGTCGTCGGAAAGTGTTAAGTGTGTGCAGAGGGGGGAAAAAAAGAAAGCAGCTGCATTAATAATTAAGTAATAGTACACACACAGACATCCACAATTATAGAGCAGAACGAGACGATGGGGTGATGGGGCGATGGGGCGGAAAAGTGAGAAAATGATTCATGTAAGAGGAGTTGCAGCACAGCAGGAAAAACGGGAAAAACGTAAAGAGAACTCGTAAGTGTGTCAGTACCAGTGACGGCACCTTTCTCTACATACTCCTTGGTGAGCCGTATATTTCTCCCCCCGCCATCCCCCCCATCACGTGTTTGTCTTCAGTCCAATAATTTTCGGAAATGGAAATTTTGCATAGGCTAAAAGTCCGGCCTAATGAAGTTGCTACCCCAGAAAGTTGCTTCTGTAATGCAAATCAATGTGAAAAGTTTTCGGCACGCTTCAAAATTTCATGAGCCATCGGACTTATCGATGAATTTCATGAATAACAAAATACAGCCTCCGACGAAAGCCGCTCAGGCACTTCCTTGCTGTTAGATGGGGCGGAGAGTGGGGGCTGGTGGAACAAATTGAACATTTAACCCATTACAACATGACAAGCTCCCCGAAAAGCCTTCCATCATCGAATTTTTCGACTATTTTGCCTGTGAATATATAAACGGAAGTCAGAGATAGCGAGAGGGGGGAGGGTGGATGGTGGGAAGAAAACATTTTTGGCAGCTTAAATTTTCCATAAATTTCCATGGCAACGACCAATGCTCATTATAATTTGCCATTAATTCTCAGAATAGCAACCAGCCAGACTTTTTCCCACTCCCCCCCGCTGTCTCCTGGAAGAGGTATTCTTTATTTTGCTGCCCCCATTCCTGTTGGGCTAGACCTGGCACGCCTTGGCTTTGGCCGCCTCCTCTGCACACTCGAAACTCATTAACGTAATTTTCGAAAATTTATGAATGTTAATTGGGAAATTTCTTTGGCATAGTGGAGCCGAGCAAAGTGCTTATTAAATTATGCTAATGAGTTCCTGAGCCTCACACACACAGCTTACACAGCTGTCTTGGAAGGAGCTCGGAAGGAACTTTCTTCGGATTGTGCGGTGTGGGCCAGATAAATGAGAAATTCCAATTATTTCTGACAAAAAAGCGAAAACAAATGAAATTGAGAGCGTAAACGCTGGGAAGTTGTCAACAGCCGCCTGGCCTGGGGCAGGATCGTCGGCAGAACAAAGCCACGGAAAGTGAAAGGACACGGCAGTGGCAAGGGGAATTGTGTCTCTCGTAGCCTCTTCTGTCAATTAGTCGTCACTCACTTCTGTGGCCTTTTAAAACGATTAACGATTACTAACTCGAATCTTTGAATTTTCTTGCAGGATGTCTTGCACAAAATCTGTCATCCACATGGCCAAGTGCTGCGCATTGTCATCTTCAAAAAGAACGGCGTCCAGGCCATGGTGGAGTTCGACAACCTCGATGCGGCCACACGGGCGCGCGAGAATCTGAATGGAGCCGACATCTATGCCGGCTGCTGCACTTTGAAAATTGATTATGCCAAGGTAAGATTGATCGCGGCCTCTACAGGCTCGTCTGTATATCGTGATATATTCTGTGACCGTTTTGCAGCCAGAGAAATTGAATGTGTACAAGAACGAGCCCGATACCAGCTGGGACTATACGCTGAGCACAGGTGAGATTCTACCAAGTGCGTTCACATTTTTTACTACTTTTTTCCCCCCTAAAAAGAAATAGCCTCTAAGTGATGCACCTATACATCCACACACTTCAGCACCCACACACACAAACACACCCACACTCTGTCATAGACACTTGCATTGCCCAAAGCCACACACACACACACTCACAAACACACGGAAGTACACACACTCTCTGTCGCACGCACACGAAGACGGAGAGATGATTGCTTTTTGTGTCACTTGAGACCGAGTCCAAAATAAACTGTAGAAATATCCCCAGTTGCCGGCTTGCTGTGCTGAACTCTTTTTGGTTATCCACATTTTAATTGGCCAAAACCCCACCCTGCCCACATATTCCTTGCTCTTTACTCTAGTTGGCTGACACACGTGGCGTATGCGCAATTTCTCATTCTGCTTCATATTACGTTGTTTCCCGAAGCATTGCCGTAATCCTTTTATTAACAATTTTCGACGCTTCAAAGTTCTAACCGTAGACACCCCCGGGCGTATACTTAATGTCTTAACGCACACACAGACACAAAGGGGAGACCGCATCACCATCATCATCTGGCATGTGGCAGCTGGCATTTAAGATACACAACATAGCAAGGCCGCCTACGTCCAAGCAATAGTGCCACCTGTTTGCGACTCACAGTGTGGCCTCCACAATCCCACAGACACAGACACCGCCACAGCCCCAGCCACTGCCAGTGCCAGTGCCACTCCCACTGCCACTGCTAGTGCCACTCCACTCCTCTTGCTCCCAACTTGCCCCTCCACTGCGCATTTCACATGTTCTCTGTGCTTATGACAGGCGACAAAGTTGCGCATTAAATGCCATTTTTAATTTGTATATTTCACTTTGAATAAAAATGAAATTAAATGCTTTTGCCCCGGTTTTCCGCTCTCTTGTTCTCTCGACTCCGACTCTCGTCTGGGGCAGACAGCGAGGCGACACTGTCAGCGTTGTCATCCTTGTCGTTGTTGTTTGGCAATTTGTAGCTGGAAGAGGTCGACAGACGGGCAACATCAAAAGGCCGACAAACTGAGCCACCAGCGGATCCTGTCCCGTCCAGGCCAACGCACTATTAATGCTGTTGTTGCCGCTGTTGCTGTTGTTGTGCTGTTGCTGCTGTGGAAAAGTGTCAACGTTGCCGCAACCACTGCCACAGCAACGTGGCAGGAACTGTCCCTGGCTGCGACTGAGGGGAAAAAGCAGGATGACCAAAGCCACAATAACTCAGACAGCCTCAGCCACGCTCTATTCAATGGACGGACAGACACAAAGTTTGGCTACTGTTGCTGGTGTTCCTCCTGCTTCTCCTGCTCCTCCTCCTCCTCCTCCTCGTCCTCTTACTCCTCCTCCGATGCATTTATCTGCCTCGTTGGATTGCCGTTTACATTTGGTGTTGTCTGGTGGCAGCCGAAGTTTGTTTGCACTTGCATTTGCATGCCACATCCACCAATTCCCTCTCTGCCACTGTGTGCTAGCCGTTGCCACAAACGGATGAGCCTCTACTGAGCTACAGCCATTTGTCAGCCAACCAGCTGCCCAACCAGCCAGCCAGCCTCCCATCAATGAATGGCACAGAACTGAATGAACTTGGATCCTGTCTGTCCTGTCTGGGCGGATGGAAATGGAGAAGGCGTGGGCAGAGATGTGTTGCTGGTAGCTACAACATCATTGCCGTTTGGGCGTGGGCGTGGGAGTGGGGCAGTGGTGGTGGTGTTGTGGGGGGCATGTAAATTAGAACGAACAGAAAGCAGGAGATACTTTCCTTTCTTTGTGGCTGATGATGGAACGACTGGCGGGTATCTCTTTTTGCTACCAACGATTCCATGACAGGTGGAAACTGTGCACTTTTCCCACACAATCCTTGTGGTTGACTAATTGAACGGATAAGGGGCTGGCAGAGTTCCTGTCCTTTCAATCGATCGGCAAATGCAAATTGCTTACCATAACCCTCTAACCATTCGATGGCTGTGGATATTTCTCCACGAAAATCAATAGAGTTCATTATAAATCATGGTAGTCATGTGACAATCCAGGCCCACAACTTGGGCTGTACTTCGATTTCGTCCTAAATTATTGTCTTAACAATAATAACAAGCGGACAAAGCGAACAACGGACGGGGGCAGGCGACAGGGGACAGTGGACAGAGTGGAGAGAGGGAAAACAAAAAGTGAAGTGAGGAAAGTTAAATATAAAGTGGAAAATGCAAACCTAATATTTGCATAAGATTTTCACTCGCCCTCTGTAAATCCTCAGCACTCTGTCTTTTTCTGTCGCCTTTCGTCCTTCTATCCTTTTTTGTAGCTGGCGCTTTCCTTACCTTTTCCTGGCAATCGATACAAAATGCCAGCACGTGAAGGCGGTGCCACTGGTAGTGGCAGTGGCCTCCTGACTGTGCCACCGCCTTGGGTAAACAAGGTTCCTCCCGCTCCTTCTCCCTGTCCCTCTCGCTCTCCCTCCGTTCTGTTCCGCTTGGTCAAAAAAGCATTCGAAATGACTGGCACTGGCCGAAACCGTCCAAAGTAGCAAAGAAGTTTTTAACAAGTTGACTTGAGTGCTCAAACACCCAGCCACCCAGCCACCCATTCACTGCCTGTCGCAAGGATAGAAGGCAGCAAGGAGGGAACCTCTGCAGTGGCTTCCAGCTCCTGCTGCAGCTCAAAACTTCATCAAGTGCACACCGAAAATTTGTATTTGCATTTGCATTTGACAACCGCGTGGCTGCCACAGTTGCCACCGATGCGGTTCGTCCTAGTCCTCGTCCTCGTCCGCCATCGTCGTCCTGCTGCATATCTGAGAGATATTTTCAGTGGTGGCTTAGCATCTATCCTGCACTCTGTCTCAGTCCCTGTTTCTGTCTATTCGCGTTTTGTTAATTTTCTACTCATTTTGCTGTCATCCTCTCGGGCTGCGTCTTGCGGCTGTGGTTGCGGTTATCCTTGCCCCGCCTTCAGATGGATTCATGCTCATCAGGAGTCGCATTTTGCTTCGTGTTGTCACGCGATGTTCTCTTGCTAGGTTACCCCTCCTCCATCCCCCTTACCGCATCACCCATCGCCGCCCCGTTGTACTTTATTTGATTGCAAATTGTTTTGGCTCGTCCCTTGCCCTCGCCCTTCTTTTGGGTTCTCTTTTGGCCCAAGGACGTTCGATTTTTCTTTCTTTTTCTGCACTTTTGCCCCTGCTAAATGTGGAGCCAGCGACTTGGCAAAACTTCGTGCATTTTCATACGTTTAGGGACTGCGATTCTCCCCTTCGGTTAGCCCGTCGACCTGATGCAAAGTGACAGTTTCGTTTTACCGGATAGTTTGTCTCCGAGTTAATTTGGCTTCTGCCGAGGAATAGTCTGCGCTTGAAATTGATTCGAGACGATTTACTGAAGGGGGGAATGGTGCAGCAAATAGCAGTTTAGATCTGGTTATGCTCAGAGCTGGCCAAAACGGCGGCCCATTTACCAAATTTATGTCCCCTGATTGGGTATCCCGATAGCCGCAGGAACTTGGCCTTAATTAACCACTGAATAGGCCTTCCCGCGTCCCCTTCGGTTGCCTGGGGATGACTCCCAGGGGGCCCCAGAAATGTGCACCGTAATCGCAGTCATTATTTATTTTATTTCCTAATGCACGGAAACGGCAGCAAAATAACAATCATACGAAAAACGGGACGGCGTATGCCGGAATTAGGTAGCAGAAATTTCAATAAAAGTCGAGACACAAATAAAACTAGACAAAGGACAAACGAAACGAAATGAAATGAAACGGGACGGGTCGGAAGCGAAACGGAAATGCCAAATGCCATAAAATAGAGACGAAGGGAGAGGGATAGAGTCTCCCACGAAGGGTCGGCGGCAGGATCCTTTTCTATTCTTTCGCTTAGAAGTGGGACAACTGAAGTTGAATATAAAACATGACAAAACTATTTCATGTTTACGATTAAATTATGTACGAGGTACTATGCTCGTAATCCTCGCAGTTCTACCAGCTAAGGTGTCCCTATGCCGCATGTCACATGCCCCAAAAGGATGTCTCCCTATAAACCACAACAATCGAATTAAATGCGCATAAATTATTCATACGTTCTCTCTCTGTCTCTCTCTCTGCCTCTCTCTTTGCTCTGGCACACATGCAAATCACGCTGGCAATCCTGTGGCTGAGGGGCTGTGTGGCTGGGGCTGGGGCTGTGGCGTGTGTCGCCGTGGCAACTCCCCGTTCTCCCAGTGATTTCAATTATGGCTAGAGTTTTCGATCCTGCCGCATTCTTATTTATTTAAATTGCATTCAAATAACTTTCCCCTTCGCTTTCGCTTTCTTTATCCTAAATCAACATTGGATTGTCCTTAGTCCTGGGTTCACTGCAAAGCACTGCTTTCCCCCCGATGGGCTGTTTATTTTTATGACACAACGATTTCTGCCAGTGTCTGTAGTGGTGTGTGTGTGTGGATGTCTGTGTGAGAGTGTGTCCTTCGGCCTGACTGCCTGCTGATTATTTTCGTTTTATCTTGAGCCTTGCGCCATTTTGGACCCCCAATTTGTTTTTAGTGCCCTCCATATGCTGCTGCCATTCAATGTGTTTGTGTGTCTGTCATTCCGGGGCCCCCTAACGCCCTCCCGCCCTCCCTTTCCCCCTCCGTACCCATCAAATACATCGTAATTATAACGGTTTACTTTTTCAGCATGGTTTATTTAATGCCCGAAAACCCAGCGAAAACTTCATGTAATCAGTGTGAATAATTTGTTGCCTTAGTGCCCTGATCTGATATGGGCTTTTATTTGCAGGAACCCTTGCCCCCAATCCCCGCCATAGTCCTCCGTCACAGTCCCCGTGATAGTCCCAGCCACAGGCACAGACATTTACGAGTATGTGCGGCATTATGTCTTCTCTGTGCAATTGCGTGGACCTCACTCATTTAGAAGCAATTAAAATGGCTTTCATTGCTGCCCACATAATGGCCTGGGCCGGCTTTTGGTGCTTGGCCATACATTTTGAGAGCCCAT